TCATTCCCATCTCAAATTTGCATCCAGTGTAAGAAATCCCTCGTTAGTAGAGATTTAGGCTGTCACCAGCCACTAAAGCAAGACAAAGCAGCTACAATGGGTATGGCAAGGAAGGAGGCAGGCGATAGTGTTCAAGGTCTGGTTACTCTGGAATTGTGTGACCAGATGAATCATTATTTTAAAGAGCAGAATTAAGGATTTAACATATCAAAGTCATGATTTATTCGAGTATCTTTTGATTATGTGGTAGAATAACATTATATTTTATTGCTAAATGAATTTTTAAAGTAACACAGAATCATCCACCCTCCAAATATGATAGTTATCCAAACTGATCATCTGCTACCTAGATATAGATAATGTGGCTACTTATACAAGTGGAGGGTTGCTTCTGTTCCCCAACCTTTCACTGTACTAATAGCAGGCCTTTCACTGCATTTGTGCTGGTGCTCAGCAGAGGATTAAACAGACAGTTCCCAAGACAAGGAAACAGTCTCTAAATAAAGAATTAGTTTACATATTTTATGTGGCTTATTTATTGATTATATTGGTTCTGTAGCAGGCAATGTGAGCTTTTGAGCATATTAACCCATTAACACATGAAACACAATTACATACCTTTTCTTCCACTTTAATCTTCTTCTGATCTAATTCTGTTAATCGCAGTAGCATAAAAATTACGAACTGCCAATATTCAGGTTTTTCCTATTTAAAATACCAAGAAAGCTATTCAATTGCCTTCCTTTTCCCCAATCAACAAGCACCAGCATTCTATTCTCATGAGCCTGAGTCTTTCACCTGCTCCCTCATCATTCCCACGCCCCTGCATAGGGTTCTGCACTTCACGCTCACCAATCCCCTTACGTTAACTCAAATGCAGACCATGCCTTGTAATTTACGAAGCTCTTCCAATGCACAATCTTGTTAATTTCCCTCTAAGATTAGTAGAACAGGATTATCCTCATTTCTTTTTGTTTTTTAATTTTTATTTTTCTAGAGACAGGGTCTTGCTCTGTCACCCAGGCTGGAGTGCAGTGGCATGATCGTAGCTCACTGCAGCCTCGAACTCTTGGTCTCAAGTGGTCCTCTTGCCTCAGCCTCCTGAGTAGCTGGGGCTAATTTTTCACAGAGATGGGGTCTCATTATGTTACCCAGGGTGGTTTCAAACTCCCTCAAGCAATCTTTTCCCGTTGGCCTCCCAAAGTGCTAGGATTACAGGCGTGAGCCATCACACACAACCTGATTATCCTCATTTCTAAAGGGAAAACTACTAAGTCTCAGAGAGGTGAAGTTGCTCATCTAAGATGCTGTGGCCAATGACTCAAACCCTGTCTTCTAACTCCAATGAATTTCATTACTGCAAATAATGAAACGTTACTACTTATATTATTTTATTATTATTTATT